ACCTTTCAAATAAATTGAGAAATGCAACGCTAGGGAGTGATATGGAACAATATTGGTTTTCGAACTACCATAAATTCGGAGCTTTTCTAAAGCATAATATACGAGAATAGGCGAATAATTCTCGGTCCATTTTTATGCAAAACATCATTTAGGAACATTATCAAATACTTTTAAAATCTAACTATTAATTAACCAATAAGCTAATCCAGTTTGTTTCTCTTCTAAGATATTCAGAAAACTAAAGTAATTCGAAAATAACATTTTGTTTTAGAAAACTTGTATAAACAAATCAAATAAGCCCAAACAAGACATGTTTTCGTTTATTAAGTGCAAAGTTCCTTAAGTCTCTTTCTAGTTCCGTCTTCAGACTCTAAATATGATCACGGACCAAAATCATTATCAAGACAAATAATATCAGTATAAACTCAATGAGATTACTTCGTTGAAATACAGGAGTACATTCCAGTTCCACAAGTAGATCAGCTTTATTCTTTATGAATAATGCATTGTCATCCAAATTATGTGTATTCAAAATTTCAGTCCAATAAAAAATGGTCAAATTAATATTTGACTTACAAACTAACTAACACGGCTCCTAAATATAAGCTTTTCATTAGAAAAAATCCCAGGTCAAATTTATAACTATTGGTATTTACTCGTATATAGATGGTGAGTTTTTGGCGGGAATTGTCCAAGGACGTTCCTTGGACCGTGACAGAACAGACAGAACAAGTATTCAGTGAACTTTGCAGGCGAACGCGAACGGGTTACCTTTTTCTGGAGACTTTTCTGCCTTAAGTTATAAGCCTTTTGATGTACTCTAAAATTTTAAAAGAACCAACTTCGAACTTAAAAATAGTAAAAAATAATATCTCAACAGCAACTTATTTAAGAAAATGCTATTAATGTCGGCCAGATGTTTTCTATTGGTTATAAACTTAATGATAGGCGTCCGACTACAGCATATTTTGAAGTCGATCCTATTTTTGATTTTAAGTTTTTATTTCATGCTTTTTAGTAATATTTATATTTTTTATATAATAGGTAACACTAATAATACTTTTATGAAAACCGCCTCAAAGTTGTATTAAAGTGCGAACCACATTTTTTTAATCAGTTAATATATCTAAAACCTTTCCCTAAGTCTGACAAATACTATGCTTAAAACCGCATCAAAATCGGTACAGGTCAAACTGATAACCTCCTTTTTTGAAGTCGGTTATAAAGAAAATGTATTATCGAGACCTAGGCTGCATGGAATAGATCCATTTCATATTGGTGTTTCTTCTCTAGGCAAAAGTAAGTATTAGTTACGTATACCGATAAAGTCGTTAAACAAATGCAGTTTTCTTAAATACTCTAGTAGTTCACTTTTCTTGTCGTTAATTTATTCGACAGTACTTCTCAGATAAGACTCCCAAATTTGGAACTGGTGGTAGATTACGGTAGTCAGGGATAAATCAACAGAACAAATGCATTTTTTTAACAATTTCATTTAATAAATTTAAATGTTGCCATAAAATATATGTTTTCGTATTGTGAATGTATCCAATAGTATTGGTTTGATGGTAGCTATACTCTTAATTTAAATACAATCAACACTTTAGTTTTATGTGAAGACGGAACCTGTAAAGGGTTCAAAACATCAATGAAAATATAAACACGACGAAACCGTTTTAAAGTTGCTTCATTTATTGATAGTGTAATCGACAGCAAGCACAATGGATTGTGGATAATTTTATTATAAGATAATTTTAGCAAAAAGCACAAGATACAAGACAAACCAAACATTGACAAGGTCAAAAAGTAAAAAAAAAAAAATAACTTAAAAATAAGTATAAAAGCCTCCTTAAAGATGCCAGTAATAATATATCAAAAACATTGTAAGGCTGTCGGCAATAGATATAAGAACTCAATATATTGTTTACGTTTATTTATACGTAATTTTATAATAATTCATATTCGTCTAAACTCTTTCTAATAGGTATGTCAGTCCCTATCAAACAGTCATTCAGATAATAGAAAAACATGAGTATTTTCCCCTTCCATTTAACAAGAAATGGCCTAGAAAATATGTAATGTAGTCGAGAAAATAAGCTCGCTACGTCACAATTATGTAGAAATTGTACAAAAGCGTGAAGTCATATGATAAAAGATAAGCAAAGAAAAACGTGTTTAATATTCCTCACAACCTACTTGATAGACAGACAAATAGTCATCGTTCTTATTGTCAAAGTTAGTCGTAAAGCATATTTCCACTGACAGCAATAATATCATTAATACTTTAAAAAATCACCAGATATCGGCTTTTTCTTTAAGATATATATCAATATAGTATTGTATATGCAAAATTGATCATATACAATGATCACTGTTCCAGATATCACATACTATAATTTAGTAATTGATTAATATTTAGCCAATATTAAAATTCAGAGATGACTTTTTTTCATGATTTCTACGTCATCATCGTCTGCAGTGCTATTTTGCTATAAAAACAGCATCGAACGCGACGATGAACGCAGATCTGTCAGAGTGTAGATGCTCAATTAAATAGAGCTTACTCCAAGCTATACATTATGTATAAACATTCCTGTTATAATATAATTATACAGCGACCATATATATCAATTTGAATCGGTCTCATTAAAGGTGTCATTTGAATAAAAAAAATATATATATATAAAAATCGATGTTCCATCAAAACTTCATAATGGATTGTAAGCAAGAAAACCATAGGGACTGACCCCATGAAAGATTAGTAAACAGGGTGAAAAATGGAATTAAATCTTTTGAATTTGAAAGAAACGAAGGATCCCTTGGGTACTCGTGGAAGAAAATAAACAAGAATAATCACGGCATTGACATGACACCTGGAGCATTATACAGTCAAAAACGTCTTCCCTGTGCTCTCTTCTCATCTCATATTCCCTGAAAGCGACATCTATTTCCCAAACGCTAATATGACTCTATCCGTAATTTATGGTGCAACGGAGGGAGGAGCTGACACTGCTATTATTTATAATAATATGGCTTTAATAACAAACATTATGTGAAAGTATCAAATTATTTTAAGTAGCTCGGTGGCGTAGAGGATAAGCGCCGCGGCCGGCGATCGTTGTTGTTAAGCATCTTTCGCAAGGGTCGGTCACGGGATGGGTGACCAAAAAATTACTATCTCGAGCTACTTTGTGCTTCGGAAGGCACGTTAAGCCGTTGGTCCCGGCTGCATTTGCAGTCGTTAATACCCTCCAATCCGCATTGGGCCAACGTGGAGGGTCATGGCACATCCACCTTAACCATCCATAAGGAAGGCCTGAGCCCCTGCAGTGGGGACGTAAAAGCGCTGATGATGATGATCAAATTTTTTCGAATTTTCGTTGGGCATTATCAACTATAGAAACGCTACAATTAGTTAACTATTTAAACATAAGAGCAGCTTTATTATACGAATTTATAATAATTATCTATATTTTTATATTATCTCTGCTAAATACTTTGTATATATGTAGTTAATAACGTCACAAAAATCACGTCTATTGTATGGGAGCTCCTTAAATATTTATGTTATTCTGGTTATTAGTATTATTTATTGAAGCGGCAACAGAAATACGTCAACTGTGAAAAATAAAACCATGTAACTTTCACAGTTCATAATAAACAGCCTGGTGGCAGGCAGACAGACGGTGAAGTTTTAGTAATAGGCTTCCCGTTTTACCATTTGGGCACGAAACCCTAAAAATTAGCTGACTTCTATACAAAGATGTAAAATTTCAATCTCAAATTATACGAATCAACTTCGTTATATATTAACGATAAAATGTACAGTCAAAAAATAATAGTCAAAGGTATGAAAATAAAACAATATCGAATAAAAATCACTTAAAATTTAATCGATACTTACAAATTTAACAATTTATATAAGCTATTTACATACTATATACACTATCAAACAACTACTCAATGTTCAAATTGCAATTCTTATCTAAATTCAATCGAATCAATGTATTTCAACATCAAATCATTAATTTCTAATAATTAAATTACTTGGTTCTAAAAAGTGTATAATATAAAATTCCATGAATTTTGTCTACATATATATTTGGCACGCTCTTGGTTAATCAAACAGTTATCAAACTTATATTTTATATTATAAATCTGATAAAAAAAACCCCACACTGGCTGTTATGCAATAATGTAATATACTCGTTGATGCAATAGATCATATAACTCGTGCGAATTAACACGACATCTGAGGACCTATTCTATATCTCCTCGAACTAAAATTCGGAAAATATCGAATTGTTCTTATAATTTCGTTAAAAAATATGCTTGAAGATTTTTTATTGAAAAAGCAGTTTCTTATGAGTCGTAGCAGTTTCTTTTTTCGGAGAAATAGAATAGTCCTTCATAGGTGCGACCGACTAACTCTCTAGCCCTGATTCTAGCCTATTCTATAAAAAATTTTTTTTTCTGTCATGGCGGTATTACCTAGCAACTTGCTTCTTTACATGTCTTTTGGCTGATAAATTATAAAATTGGTAACGCTGCTCTCAAACTTATAGTATTTATTTTTTATCATTCGGTTGTTGTTAATTAAGTACATGTTAAAGTAGCAAAAATGAAATCAAATATCGATACGACATAGCTAAGATGTCGTATCCTATAGCTAGAATCATTGCTAGAGAGTTAGGCGATCGCATTGCAGCTGTAATGTTATATTCTGCCTTTTCACGTATAGTAACATAATGACAAAAGCGTTTTCACAATTTTGTTTATCTACTTATACTATAGATATAAATATACCTACAGAATTAAGAATTGAGTGATTTTGAATGAAAATTTAATACTCAAATTAAATATTAATGGTGTTTTTAACTGTAAAGAGAAAAGTTAATAGATCTGCTAATATTTTCAAGAGTTTTTATGACTCTCAATAGATTAAGTTTTTGAGTGCTAAGGGTCACAGATTTAAAACTATAAGGTTCTAAAATTAGCATTCTTTTAAGTTTGAAAAAGCATCAACTTATTTATTAACGACATATAATTTTCTGTTAATCACAAACAAATGACACACTGTTTTTTTTTTATTTCACATGTTAATATCACCAACAAAATGCATTTCAAATGACGAATTTCTCTATAAAGTATATCTGGCCCAACTATGTTTTATTTTTTTTACAAAAAAATGTTATTTTATCCTGGATTTTACTCTATTCCAGTACTTTTATTTATTTCGTTCAGAAAACTATTAGTATTGCAAATATTTTAAAACATTCATATTCCTCTATTTCGACAACTGTATAGTTGTGATACAAGATATTTTTATCTGATTTAATTTTTATATAAAAAATGTAATAATATTTACGAGTTTTAATAATATTATTTGTCTAATAATAAAACATTATTCATATAAAATTAATAAATAGCATATTCATTTTACAGATAGGAAGACTGTATAAATAATGTTTATTAATTAAAAATAAATATATTCACAAAAAAAAGAAATAATAAGATTACATTACATATCAATTGAAATATGTGTGCGTTCGTATTTATATTATGATATATTTTTCAAATACCATTAACTTTATAAAATATTGATCGTTTTCAAAAATTTAACAATACTCTATTCATTCCCTAGAATGATACCTAAAGCAAGCTTTTCATGAAATAATTTAAATTACATATTTAAATTTATATAGTCACTAAAGTTGTATTTTTCTTACTGTGTATTTCCAGCAATTTTGATAAATTTAATATTTGGTGAAAAATAAATGATTAAAATATGAATTCATAACATTAACATTGGATATCCTTGAAATTAGATGAAATCCAATATGTAAGGTATACGATAATTGATTTACAAAAAATGGAGGCAATCCTATACCAATTACTTACAACAAACTCGGAAACAAGCTAGTCAATTGTGAAACGAGAAAAGTTTTTCACAGTAGTTAATATAAAATAATTATAAATTCTTTCACACGATAACAATATTATTGCTCATTTTAAATAATTAAATACAATTCAACAAAAGTATTTTTCAAGTCTCTTCACAAAAAAATTACCAAACCTCATCAAGAGAGAGGTTTCTTTAACGAAGCTACAAGCAACTATTGTTATTTTCCAATAACATATAAAAATATCTAGAAAGAAATCTATTATAGGTCTACAATCACAAATAGACGAATCCAGGATAGATTTTCATTTAATAAAATAAAATATTTATTTTCAAAGGGTTATGACTGAACCAAAAAACATTAATATCACAACGCCCGCTCAAACGTCAATTGTGCTTTCTTGCTATCTATATGGTTCTATATCAGCCGTCACCACGACTGTATTATGTTTTTTGCACGGCGATTCATCGTCGACACCGTAAAAACATACACTTCTCTGAGGGTAAACTTTGGGCTTGAATTCCGAGCCCAAATTCCGTGGTAGTGTTTTCGACTTACTATTAAATTCACTCTTCAAACAATAATCGTAGAATAGTTTTGGTCCTTCGTTGAAATATCTGCTATAGTAGCCGTCACACGCTTCGAAAGACATGCTTTTAGAGAAATTCTCTTGGTAGCAGATACGTGGCTGCTGAGAACCCTCCGGTCGTGTCCTGGGCTCGTAGCTTGAGCTGCGTGCCCAATATTCGGGAGGGGTTGGGGCCCATGGTGGTGGCCCCAAGGGTCGTTCTCAGCGAATCGGCTTGGAGACTATGATGACGTCAGGAGCAGAACGAGTTGTCTCTGTGCTCATTGGACGCCTTTCTGATAACTTTTTCTCTGTAAAGAAAATAGTTAAAGATAACCATAATTTCTTTTTTCATTAAAGAAGTGTTTGGTGATATGGTTTTGAGATTTTACATAACGATTTGTAAAAAAGCCTTGTATAATATCCAATGGTTTTAAGAGTATACATGCCACTATATTCACTATGAATATTAGAAAACAGACTGATATAAATTATAGATATACAGCTCATACTTACGGGACTTAGTTCCAGCTGGATATTGCGGAACCTGACTGAGGAGTTCTATAGTAATTTCTGATGTATTTGTCTGAGGTGGTGGAGAGGGCCTGACTATAGTTGCTCCGGAGTAACCGAAGGTAGAGAAAACTGGGCCATTGCTTCCCGAACCTGTGGCAAAGGAGTAAAAAATGTTTGTTTATGTTTATGTCGCTTAAAATGCTAATAATTTGTGATTTTTATTCTGCAATTATCAATCAAGTATAAGCTTTTTCCATTTACCGTCTGAGCTAGGTGCAGTTTCTGTTTGAAATAAACTCTCTCTCGTTTGACATCCAGACTCTTTAGTATCTGGAGCGCCAACAGACACGTCTCTTATTTCTTTCTTTTCTCTAGCTTCGTCACTTTCTCTGGTTTTGCTTCTTATTGATTCTTCTTTTTTACTAGTATCGCTCTTTCTATGTCTTCCATTGTGTTCTATCCTTACGTTCTCTGTGATGACAGGGCCACTGCTTGCATCACGGTGCCATGATTCTTCGGAGTCTAGAGGCACATCAGGTATAAAGTCTGAATCTATACTGCTGGGCTGTAAACAAAAATGTAAATAGCGTTACTAGTTACTACCAATCTAACCCGAAATGCTGAAAAGTATGGCTTACTTTACATTAGATAAATTTATTTGTTTAAAATATTAAAGAAAAAAAAGGTCGCCATTATTATTTCCGATTGTTGGGAGTATGGAGTCATAAAATATTTATCTAAAATGTGATAGGTCATCAATGAATAGACTCTTTGGAGAAATCCAATCAATCTAAATTTATATTAAAAGTTCCGTAGGTGTAGATGAGTATTAAACATTATGAACATGAAATAAAATTATCAGATGTCGATTGAATGAGGATTTACCTAAATTTGATGTCAGTTTACAAATTTTATGTTTATTGTTTATATTGAAGGATTGCTCTTTGCCCTCGCTTGTATTAAGTATTTGGGTAAATATTATCATGCAAGACCGAAAATGCACTGTTGGGATATAATGAAGTCGAGCATACGATAAAACCTGAGAAGCGTCATCGATGACCAGTTTTTCAGCTTGAGCAGGTAGTGGTAGAGATATACCCAGCATAGGGCTGAGTGATGCACTTTGAGAAAGATCTACGATGCCTTTTAGGAGACTTCCCTGGTCGAAAAAATTGTTTAATGGCTTTGAAATTCAAATACAGACTTGTAACTTAAACAATTGTTTTTATAAACAATTTTATATATTATATTTCACATAGTACACATTTAATAAGTACAAATAATGTGTCTAGTAAATGTTTTGTATTAAACAGATTATGTCACACTGATACTTTATTTTTTACTATCGACCAAAATAATTTCCAATGGTTTAACTGTATTATTTTAAATATCCTCCGTCTGCCTAGTGACGCCCGCAACTAGTAAAGAAAGCAGAAGATAAGTAAGTTTTACCTTATGTTTCGAGTAGCTTCTCTGCCTTTTGATTTCATTGGTGTGGTTTTCTCTTTCCAAACTCACAGCTCTAGGTTCGCTGTCTCTCTGAAGTCTTTTCGCATCTAAGGTCAGTCTACTACCGCCTAAGTTATCCAAGCGATCTTCACACGACTGTCTGATATGCTCCTGCATAAAATAGCTCTTGATTAACATGTTAAAAAGAAGATCTAATTAAGGTTTTTAGATAGATAGATAGATAGAATATTCTTTATTGTACACACAAAGACAAAATACATTTATATGACGAAAACAGGAGACGTACAATTGGCGGCCTTATCACTAAAAGTGATCTCTTCCAGGCAACCTTGGGATGGAGTTAAATATAAAAGATCTAATGATGGGGTAGTGGATGGTGTACATATAAACAATTTGTAAATATGCATAATTGACAATTGTTATTTACTTATTATAATTCAATTTTATAATAGACTTACATATACTATAATCTAATATCTATTATCATATAAAATACAATACATATATAAATATATAATACCTATATACATACTTTCATGGACAGGTAGTGCTCTCTGACAAGTTTGCTAAATATATTAAGAGAATTAGCTTTTCTAAACGACAAAGGTAGCGCATTTCATAGTCGTACAGCATGGACGGTAAAAGATTTATCATAGTACTTAGCGGAATGCATTGGCATTTCCAGCCGCAGGTTTTCTGATAATCTCAAGAAGCGGGATTCTTTGACGAATTTGGAACGATCTTTGAGATAAGAAGGGGTAGTGGGATTAAAAAGTATACTAAATAACATATTTAAAATATGTGCATTTAAAATATCATTATATACACCTAAATTTCTAACATGATCACTAAATTGTAAGGAGATTCCATCAAAAACTATTTGCGGGGTCTGCTCAAACTTTACTTTAGCTCTAAGCCTTGAGCTGCCCACTATGACAACTTGAGTTTTGGTGGGATTCACCCAAAGCCCATGTTTGCGGCTCCATTCAGAAATCTGAGCTAAATCTTTATTAAGACTTTCAATGGCAGAACTTATAGCCTCAGCGGGGGCTTTCGTATAAATTTGCAAATCGTCTGCAGGAAATTGTGTTAATATAAACAGCAAAAAGAAAAGGAGATAAAACGCCACCCTGCGGCACCCCGGCAGTTAAGTTACACCAACAAGAGAAAGAATCTTCAACGCGGACGCGCTGCCGGCAACCAGACAGGTAACTTCGAAACCAATCAACTGCTGATGGAGATATGTTAATAGAGCGTAATTTTTGAAGCAAAACGTCGAAATCAACAGTGTTTAACGCGTTGCTAAAGTCTAGTAGACACAAGATCGTGATGGTTCCAGTTTCCATTCCTAGCCTAATATCATCCGTTATGTTGATAAGGGCAGTAGTAGTGCTGTGACCTGGTCGGAAACCGGATTGGTAGGGATTCATGAGGTTGTTTTTAACTAGGAATACGCTAAGTTGGTTGTGAACAAGACGCTCAAGGACTTTAGATAGAAATGGGAGGATGGATATGGGACGAAAATCTGACAAGGAAACAGGGTTAGATTTCTTAGGAAGTGGAGTAACTTGAGCTTCTTTCCAGGATGACGGAAATTCACTAACAGATATGGAAAAGTTAAATATATGTGTAAGCACAGGAAGAATTTCATCGAGGATTGGCATTACCATTTTCCGGCTGACACAGTCATTGCCCACTGCATTGGATGTAATTGACAAGACGCTCTTTTTAACATCACATTCAGAGAATTGATTAATGAAGAAAGGATCATGATTAGGGCGGGGCAGAGATGAAATTGATTGAATGGTATTTGCTTTCGTAGTCTCGTCAAAATGAGCCGAAGAGGAAAAATATTGATTTAATAAATTTACGTCAATGCTACCGTTTGTCGAGATTTCCCAATCCCTATAGAGTTAAGAAACTTCCAGACTTTTGCTGGGTCCCCGTTTTCGACGGAACTGTGGATGTAGTGGCGTTGTGCTTTCCTACATACTCTATTGCAGCGATTACGAATTGCAACGAATTTCTCCCAGTTTGCGCTAGTGGGCTTATGTTTGTATTTAGTTTTGGCCACAGCTTTAAGGTGACTTAATGCTTTAATATCTTCACTAAGCCACGGTGAAGGAGGATGTTTAATCTTTACGGAGCGTATCGGAGCATGCACATCATACAACTGAGTCAGTTGTGCAACTAGATAGTTAAGCTTTTTATCAACTGTGTTAGATGCATATAATTGAGTCCAATCAATGTTATGAGCGTCATGTTGGAGACTATTAATATCCATACCACATTTACTGACGACAGATATTTCTATGGAACTAATTTAATGATTATACCTTAAAAATACCTTAAACTTTACCTTGATAATCTTGTGATCTTGATATAACTTGCGGATGCATTTGAAGAAGAAGACAAAACTCATACCGGAAAGTATGAGAGAGAAGATAATTAAGATAACCATTATATGGGGTTGGCTGATCATTGACTCCGCTTGACCCTAGTAATACAAAATCAAATTAAAAAAAGAAACACTAAAATAACATTTTTGATAAGTTATGACGGACATGCAGTGAGAAAATATTGCGTTTAAATTGTAACGTGTCTTATTTTGATAATCTGAAGATATTCAGTTTATAGATTTTGCACTGCATTTGGGCACTCTTACAGTATTAGTAAGTGCACCTGAAGTTTAAGAGTGCATAACATTTTTTTCTAGTGATTTGAATTGTGACATCTTATAAAAAATTAATTCAGATTAGCTCTAAACTTCAGAGATAAAATAATTCACCTATAAAAACTTATAGATCAAAAATATAAAAGTGTAAGTGATCGATTAGTCGATCGGTTGACTTATTATTTTTTTTAGAGAAATCCGGACCGCATCCGTTGTTATTTTTTAAGTGTTGGTAATCTTGATGCTAATGGCTGTCAAATTATATTTTTGACGTTTTACAATTGGCGCGCATTTTCTTAAAGTTCAAGTGTATTTGCGGCAATTTTCACTCAAAAATATGTCTCATCGAACAATGTAAGTATTTTCGCTTTATTTTATTATTATTTTATTTATTTCTATGATTTTATATTAAACATAATGTGTATTATAATATTGTAATGTGGTAAAATTAATATAAATGAAATGTGGATAGATATAATTATAATTTATAAAGTGATCGATTTTTCGATCAGTAGGATGTTATGCCCGTGTATGGTTATACTTCTTTATCTTTCTTTTACTCAGATATTTGTATTGTTTTCTTACAGTTTGTCTGTAAATGAAAAAATTTCACATCTGGAAGATGACACAGATGTCTTATCAGCTGATATTTATATTACTCCGCCGGATAATTATGACAAAAGCGATGAAGATAGTGGTGATGAGGAATTTACCCATATAAATAATTTGTCAAGGCAACAACTGTTAGCAGAAGCCGAACTAAGGGCCACCGTAGCTTCAGAAACTGGTATTGATGTTGAAGACAATTTATTGGATGATCCCTTACCCAGCACCTTGTCAGTAAAACTACCGCCAACGAAAAAAAAGCGCGCTGCTGCATTAAGACGTTGGAGGGCTATCGATATTCCAGATAAACAGGAAAAAGAGACTGAGATGCCTAGTTTCCTTGAAAATATTGAAACTCCAGTACAGTTTTTCGAATTATTTTATGATGAAGAGGTATTTGAACTATTGCGTTCTGAAACTGAAAAAAATGGAATTCAGAAAGGCAAGCATGGCTTTAGGGTGACAATTACTGAAATCAAACATTTCATCGGAATACTGTTATTGTCGGGGTATAACAGCGTGGCAAGGTATCGCATGTATTGGGAACAACAAGTAGATTGCAATTTTCAAGTCGTGTCATCTCTCATGTCTAGAAATAGATTTGAAGATTTGCTTCGTTACTTCCATGTCGCTGACAATAATAATTTACCACCAAACGATAAGTTCGGAAAAGTTCGTCCACGGTACCTGACTCTATAAGGCTAGATGGAAAAGCTCATCATATTATCAAGCAGGATAAACCAACCCGGTGTGGTTTATGCCACAAAAATACATTTATGAAATGCTCAAAGTGCAATGTCGCTTTGCATCAAAAATGTACTGTTGCTTTTCATACAAAATAGCTTTTTTTGTCCATTATATTGTTTAAATAGTCATAAGAGTCTTTTCTATTATAACATAAATAAAATACAGCTAAAAACTCCTTTTTATTTCACAATCACCCAATGTACATATTAGTACAAGACATGCATATATATTCCTACTGATCGATTAGTCGATCGGTTTCAAAACTCCATAAATAAATTAAAAAAATTTTTTTTAATCATCAATTTATATTTACATACCTAATTAGGTGCTAGGATAAAATTTTCATCAAAATCGATCAACTCTAGATAAGCTTGGGAGAAATCATACCTTCTCCATGATTTTATAAACATGAGAATGTTTAGATAATAGCTGTTGCTTCTGAATTATAGAGGATAAGACTATTCTCTACCTACTTACTGTTAAATGGGAATACTATATACATATTATGTTTATGATTTTTATTTACATGTTCTTGTAATCTTAATAACTTATTAAATGATAAGAAAAGCGTCATTTGTGAACGTTCGTAAAACATCTCGATATTTAGTAGCAGAGCAAGTGGGGCTGGTACTGTGCTGCTAACATTGGTTTCTCTTAGTAAGTCTTTCTTCTCATACTCGAGCCGTCCTAAGTATTTGTATTACCTTATTATTAGAGCGTCGATTAGCCATTTGTCTTTTTCTACCGGTTTGCTGTTGTCATTGTGCTATTGTGTCAACCTTATTTCAATCAATGCATATCTTGTCTTATTTAATCTATAGCGTACAGTAGGTTTTAGTATCAGACGTCTAGTCGGTGATGTATATAATAATCATAATTTTTGTTTATGCTCACCATCCTTGTTAGGGTCCAAACTCCTGAATGCGGTGAATGTGGCGTTGAATTTGGACTTCTGTTTGGCCGTCAACGACGCGAAGAACCTCACGTACATAAGGTTACCTTTGTCCTTGCCTTTCCCACCATCGGCGCCCTTAGTTGTTACCGAATTAGCTACAGATCCGCAATAATGGGCTAACCTGAACACGAATTTGTAGTATCAAGAAACTGTTGCAACAATTAAACAGGAGAG